TGTAAGTTTATTTGTAATTGTCCTATTTATAGTTAAATCCCCTTTCATAATATTGTAAAGTGCTACGGAATCTGTTGGCGCTATATAAATGGCAATAATAATAATAATAATAATAATAATTAGTAGCCCCCGTAATCCTTTCCAATTATTTTCCTACCTACCCCTCCCCCCATCCATATTAGTAGCCCCCCTAAACCCTTACAATAATTTTTCTACCTTTGTCCCCCCTTTTACCTGACATAGCAGGGGGACCTCTGGACGTCCGGCAGGCGCAGTGTCAGACTGAGCGCCGGGTAGTCAAGTGACACCCGGCAGGACCGGTGCAAGGATTTTTGCCGCCCTAGGCAAAAGAAAGATTTGCCGCCCTCTTCCCCTCCCCAGTGACATCGCAATGCCCCACCCATATGATCTGCCATATGAAATAACGCCAGTGCTGCACACAGTGTGTGTTTACATTAAAAAGCCTGCAGAGACAGACTATAGACACTAGAACAACTTCATTAAGCTGCAGTGGTTCTGGGGACTATAGTGTCCATTTAATGTGAGGTAAATTAGAGATTAGTGTCACTAATAATATACTAGATTGCCTACTTACAATCAGATGAGGATGGTGATGGGCTCTAGCTGCAGTCTGGCTCCACTGGTCTGGTGTAGAACAGGATCTCTGGAGGCTGTTTGTAACTGTGGTCACAAAATTCAATGTTCTGGGAGAACGGGAAGCAGCTCCATTTTTTGGGGCCTCTTACATAGCTCAAGGTCTGGGTCTCAGGGCCTGACGGTGAGTATGCCCATAAAGCCCACCCATAAGGCCACCTACATGTTCCACCCATGAGTTCGCTCACAGGGAGTAGAGTGTGTAGGGGATGTGTTATGTGTTACTGTAGAAGATCTAATGTGTGTGCTTACGGAATGTAGTGTATAGGGATATCAGTTTGTGTAGGTGATGCAGTGTGTTTGTGTGTAGTGGAAGCAGTGTGTGTTTGTGTAAGGGATAGAAAGTAGTGAGTGTTTGTGTAAGGGATGTATTGTGTGTTTCTTGTTGTGTGTAAGGGATGCATTGTGTGAATCTGTGTTTGTATGCATAAGGGATGCAAAGTGTGTTTCTGTGTATGTAAGGGATGCAGTGTGTGTGTCTGTAAGGGGTGCGTTGAGTGTGTGTAAGAGATGCATTTTGTTTCTGTGTATGTGTAAGAGAAGCAGCGTGTAGCCCATGGATCAGCGCAGCTAAGAGTATTAGGCCTTGACAGAGCCAGGAGGTAGGCATAGCAGCCACAGGAATTTAGTGACAGCCAGCATGCTGGGTAGGGCGGAGCCATAAGGGGAGTATTTATACCAGCCATTATATGAAGTGGCCATTTTAACTGTGGTTCGTGGGAATTTCTTCCTCCCCACCCCCGTCAATTTATCCCCCCACCCTCCCCTACCTCTGTTGTAGCGTGGCCGAGCCCTGTATGGTCCCCGGGTACAGGGAGCTTTTGTTTCCTGTACCCGGCCGGACTAAAAGGAAGTGCACACTGACTCAGTGTGCACTTCCTGTTAGTCCGGCGGGGTACAGGAGACAGATGCTCCCTGTACCCGCGGATCATACAGGGCTCGGCCACGCTACAGTGAGGGAGTGACAGGATGGAGTGCTGAGCGCTGAGCCCGGGCAAAGCTGCAGCCACCTGAGGCTCTCTGCAGAGCGCTCGGGTGGCTGCAGCATGAGGGGGAGCGGCGAAGCTGGGGGGGATTTCTCCATAACCTGTCCCCCCCCGTTTGATTTGCTGGGGGGGATGCGTCCCCCCATCCCCCCCGGTTCCTACGCCCATGCCATCAACAAGTAGTTGTTCAAAGATATGTCAGATTTACTAGATTCAGCCCCTTTCAAACCCCATACTAACTCAGTCATTAAAACCACCATCTACCTGGCCTTTTACGGCTTCCTGAGGCTATGGGAATTCACCATAAGTGGACAACATAATGCACAACTCTGCCTCCGTGTCTCCTACCTAAGGAAACATCTAGATCATTACATACTCACTCTACCTGTGACCAAAACAAGCCAATTGGGTCAACCTGTCCACCTTCCATACTATCCCACGAACAATACCTGATGCCCAGTGAAGGTTTTCGATTCCTACCTTCTCACCAAACCAAATCTCGCCTCACTTCCGCTTCTGTCACTTCATGAGGCAATCCTCACAACATCCAAATTCATGCTGTACGTCCGCTTATTGTTAACAAGGTGTGATGAACTGAACCTCGTCACGGGTGCTTGGAGGGGCCTGCTGCCCAGCCTCTTGCCAAAAGTCTACAGGCCAAGTCAACGACTGTAAAGACCCATATTTTATTCCCCCTGGTTCCCCTGGTTTGGCACTTTCCATAGAACCGAACGCTAGCTCCCTGCAGCTCCCCATTCGCATGGACCAAAACCGACTTCAGGGGGACTTAGTCACGAATGCTTTGGGACTATTTTCGTCATGAAGACTTCGCGGTTCCCGGTCGGTCCCCCAGCGGCACTTAGCCACGATTCTATAGAACCATTTTGGGCATGGGAACATGCGTGTGGCTGGTAATAGCTATGACTTACTGGAAATTCCTGAAATCCTGAACTGATCTCGGTGATTTTTGGATATGTTGGTCACCCAGATCAGGGCTATCAGGGGATGTAACTTTGTGAGGATTTCATGTGTTTTAAGGTATTTTGGGGGTTTTGTAAAAATATGTGTTTTTTTGTGCTTGGAGATAATTGAGTTCAGTATAGACTTTGTAACGGAGTTCCCCACAAGGTCCATGTTGTAGTGCCCCTTGCATGGGGATTGTCATAAAAGGCCAAGTTCCTCTTCACCCTCAACATAGAGCCTCGTCTCATGTGTGGAGGGGACAGCTATATTCACTCTGGGGATTGCTATACTCCTTATACTCCCTGGAATTATAATCACTAGCTCTTATAAGAGCTGTTCCTCCTATATTCTCTGGAGTAGGAGAGGTTCATCCACTGGAAGCTGGATCCTGGTCGTGGGTCCAGGGTGGGTGGAGGACGACGAGATCCCCAACCAAGCTGCAGTGGTTTGTGGGAGTCTACGGTGCTGATGGTGTCTGGTGGAGTGCTTGGCATCCTTGGTGAGCACTAGGAGCATAGATTGGCGGAGGCTGTTAATCTCTTATAAGGGTGAATGGACAGAAAGTATATTCATAGAAAGAATGATCTTGTTTCAAGCTCCCCCAACTGAACATTTTGGGGTGAATGGACATAAAGTCATGTTCACAGAAAGAATGATCTTATTCTAAGGCCCTCCAACAGACCATGTCGGGATAAATGGACAGAAAGTCATATTCACAGAATGAATGATCTCGTCCTAAGGCCCTCCAACTGAACATCTCAGGGTGGATGGACAGAAAGTCGTGTTCACAGAATGAATGATCTTGTTCTAAGGCCCTCCAACTGAACATGTCGGTGTGAATGGACAGACTGGACAGACTTGGGGTGATTGATAACACTTTCATAGTTTCACTGAGAGTGGAAAGATCTCGAAGTTTCAGGGTTGGCAGACAAGTTCTCACTGGTAAAGGAGAGATTCTTAATGTCTCATTTGATTCTCAGTAATTTATTTAAAAGTTTATTTAAAAGTTCCAGAGCTTTACTTTCTTAAAGGGAGGAAATGTCTAATACTTCATAATGAATTGGGATTTTAAAACAGGTGCTGACACTCAGTACCTCTATGTAGGATATACCTTATTAAGCAATAGTAAGGATACTGGTCCCTACGTAACACACTATAATCAAATAGTAATCACTCTAGGTAGTGAATTCAGTTTTTAGAAAACCAGGCAAATTAGATGCAACCATTTTTTAACATATATGACTACGCAAACAGAATAAAAAATTATGTAGCTCCCTCTGGTGGCAGTGACTGTAGACTATCAACAGAATAACAGAATTTACACCAAGTTTTGCAAAAAAAAATTAGGGCACCGATTTATCTTGATTGCAGTCATTAATCAAGAAGTAAAATGAATTTTATGCAAGATCATGAAAAACTGTTAAATTAAGAAAAGCCTAGTTAGATGTACTGAATAAGTGTGGAAGAAATATGCAAAAGACGGTGCTTGGGTGTATATCAATAGATTTGTGAGGAACTGGTAGTTCTCCGTGATGGGGTTGAGTTGGCTGACCACATGTTTGTTTGTAATAGGATTCTCTGCCCAGTTTAATAGAGTGACGTTATCTGGATTCTTTCTAATACAGAATTTAAATTGTCCTCAGTTATTTGGCATTGCCAGTTCTGTGTGTCCATTTTTGGTATTTACTAACCTTGCACGGAGAGCTGTTGTGTCTCTTTCAGTTGCCGATAAACATCACTAGGTTTTGCATCTTTGTAGCAGCGTATTACAGTTAAAAAAAGAAAAGATTTAATGAATCGATAGACTCTCTCAACCCAACGTGGACCCAAAGCTCACTGTTACCTCTTACCAAACATAACTCAATGAAAACTCTAATGAAAACCTTCCTTTCTAGACACAAGTCTGAGATTGTCTATAAAAAGCAGCTTTTCTGAACGTTATGATCCATGAGATAGGGAGTTACAGGGGAGAAGGGTCTGCTTATTATGGTACAAGTTTTAAGATGCATTATTCTCAACTTCAACTGAGCATTAGGCTTCAGATGCACAACAATTGAGACTGGTCTACGTGCAGGAAGATTGAAAGGACTGGCAAAAGAGACTGATTGGTGTACGCGGAGACCAGTGCCAACTGATAATAGGTCATCGGTTTACAAACGTTGCTAGTTTACTGTTGGCGATTGTCTGATTCGTAAGAACTGACACAGTTTTCCTTTGAGTGATAATTTATGGATTCTGGACAGATTACAATTAACAGCTTGCTTGTCCTCATGAAGACTGGCACATCGCATACAGAAGACTGGCACATTACATACAGCATATTGGCACATCACATACAGCAGATTGGCACATTGTGTACTGCAGACTGGCACATCACATACAGCAGATTGGCACATCATGTACAGCAGATTGGCATATCGGGCACAGCAGACTAGCACATCACATACAGAAGACTGCCACGTTGGGTACAGAAGACTGGCACATTGTGTACAGCAGACTGGCACATCATGTACAGCAGATTGGCACATCGTTTACAGCAGATTCGCACATCGCAAACAGCAGATTCGCACATCACGTACAGCAGACTGGCACAACGTGTACAGTAGACTGGCACATCACATACAGCAGACTGGCACATCGGTTACAGCAGATTTGCACACCGCGTACAGCAGACTGGCACACTGTGTACAGCAGACTGGCACATTGCGTACAGCAGACTGCACATCATGTACAGCAGATCTGCACATCATGTACAGCAGACTGGCGCATTGCATACGGCAGACTGGCACATCACGTACAGAAGACTGGCACATTGCATACAGTATATTGGCACATCGCATACGGCAGACTGCTTTTAGGGGACATATGCAGCAATTCAGTGATGTAAACATACTGTCCTTAGGCCATCGCTATCATCAACAAATTCCAGTCTTTGTGGGTCATTACACAGTTATATAGTGCATATATAAGAAAGAAATATAATAATATTGCAAAGAAAATGTTTTATTTCAACATGATTTCAAAAATTTGCTCTTTAAATTCTTCTCTTTTGAATGGGTTTGTGAGTTACAAGTGGAAAAGAAGATACAATTAATTAATTAATTAATTACAGTCAGGTCCATAAATATTGGGACATCGACACAATTCTAATCTTTTTGGCACTATACACCAACACAATGGGTTTGAAATGAAACAAACAAGGTGTGCTTTAACTGCCGACTTTCAGCTTTAATTTGAGGGTATTTACATCCAAATCAGATGAACGGTGTAGGAATTACAACAGTTTGTATATGTGCCTCCCACTTTTCAAGGGACCAAAAGTAATGGGACAATTGGCTGCTCAGCTGTTCCATGGCCAGGTGTGTGTTATTCCCTCATTATCCCATTTACAAGGAGTAGATAAAAGGTCCAGAGATCATTTCAAGTGTGCTATTTGCATTTGGAATCTGTTGCTGTCAACTTTCAATATGAGATTTGCAGTTTGTATATGTGTCTCCCACTTTTTAAGGGACCAAAAGTAATGGGACAGATTAACAGTCATAAATCAAACTTTCACATTTTAATACTTGGTTGCAAATCCTTTGCAGTCAATTACAGCCTGAAGTCTGGAACGCATAGACATCACCAGACGCTGGGTTTCATCCCTGGTGATGCTCTGCCAGGCCTCTACTGCAACTGTCTTCAGTTCCTGCTTGTTCTTGGGGCATTTTCCCTACAGTTTTGTCTTCATCAAGTGAAATGCATGCTCAATCGGATTCAGGTCAGGTGATTGACTTGGCCATTGCATAACATTCCACATCTTTCCCTTAAAAAACTCTTTGGTTGCTTTTGCAGTATGCTTCGGGTCATTGTCTATCTGCACTGTGAAGCGCCGTCCAATGAGTTCTGAAGCATTTGGCTGAATATGAGCAGATAATATTGCCCGAAACACTTCAGAATTCATCCTGCTGCTTTTGTCAGCAGTCACATCAACAATAAATACAAGAGAACCAGTTCCATTGGCAGCCATACATGCCCACGCCATGACACTACCACCACCATGCTTCACTGATGAGGTGGTATGCTTTGGATCATGAGCAGTTCCTTTCCTTCTCCATACTCTTCTCTTCCCATCACTCTGGTACAAGTTGATCTTGGTCTCATCTGTCCATAGGATGTTGTTCCAGAACTGTGAAGGCTTTTTTAGATGTTGTTTGGCAAACTCTAATCTGGCCTTCCTGTTTTTGAGGCTCACCAATGGTTTACATCTTGTGATGAACCTTCTGTATTCACTCTGGTGAAGTCTTCTCTTAATTGTTGACTTTGACACACATACACCTACCTCCTGGAGAGTGTTCTTGAGCTGGCCAACTGTTGTGAAGGGTGTTTTCTTCACGCCTGAAAGAATTCTTCGGTCATCCACCACAGTTGTTTTCTGTGGTTTTCCGGGTCTTTTGGTGTTGCTGAGCTCACCGTTGCATTCTTTCTTTTTAAGGATGTTCCAAACAGTTGATTTGGCCACACCTAATGTTTTTGCTATCTCTCTGATGGGTTTGTTTTGTTTTTTCAGCCTAATGATGGCTTGCTTCACTGACAGTGACAGCTCTTTGGATATCATATTGAGAGTTGACAGCAACAGATTCCAAATGCAAATAGCACACTTGAAATGAACTCTGGACCTTTTATCTGCTCCTTGTAAATGGGATAATGAGGGAATAACACACACCTGGCCATGGAACAGCTGAGCAGCCAATTGTCCCATTACTTTTGGTCCCTTGAAAAGTGGGAGGCACATATACAAACTGTTGTAATTCCTACACCGTTCACCTGATTTGGATGTAAATACCCTCAAATTAAAGGTGAAAGTCTGCAGTTAAAGCACATCTTGTTCATTTCATTTCAAATCCAGTGTGGTGGTGTATAGAGCCAAAAAGATTAGAATTGTGTCGATGTCCCAATATTTATGGACCTGACTGTATATGGATTGCTTCATCGTCTTGTTTTATGTTCATATAATAAAATACTGAAAAAGCTCTGAAATGATCCAGTATTTATACAACACATCACGCGCATGCGCTCACGGGGCTCCAGTAGTCTTTCCGCTGCTCTTTGGACCTTATGTTTTAATACTTGGCTAAATATAGAGGAAATTTAGCATCCATATTCCTTTCCTTTTTCTCCCTGTCCATCATCTTCCTTAAATCTCACTCTCTGCCATCCCTTGACCAATTTCAGTCTGTTTTCCACACTCATCAGTTTTGACCAAAACTTGTGGTAAAATCAAACATTTGTTGCTACCTTTTATTTCTCCTTGACCTTTCCGATGCTTTCCTCTCTGTTGGCCATCGATTTCTTCATTTCACCCTTCATCACCTCAAATGATTTGTCTCTTTTGCAGTGCTTCCACCCCCCTTCTGTCAGCATTCCCTACTGTTCTCAGTCTCTGCAGACTCAGTTCTTATGGTGAGATTACAGTAACCAGCTTCTCATTGGTCGTATACACACCCAAGTACACACTGCAATAAATTCAGCGGCTTGGCTTACCACCATGATAATTTGGCAAAATCTAAACAAATTAGGGTAAGAAAATACAGTTTGCAAATTTAAATAATTTTATTTTCAAGCCATCATTAAAAATCTAGAAACCCTTATTAGAAAGATAGATAAATAGACACGGACAGACAAGCAAAAAGACAGACAGACAGATAGATGTAATTCTATATTTATGTCTTGAATGTTTTATTTCAATAAGGAAATATTTAGGAAATATTTAATTTATTTTAATGTAGGACTACACAAACTCACTCTGTGCCCGCACTCCTTATTTTTAAAGGGGGTGGCAGAGATGAACGTTTTCCTACTTATAATTTGTTTATTTATCTTCTGAATGACTGACAGATGATTTTTGTTACATTAAAGGAATCATGCAAAGGAAACGTCCTTTAAGGTAGGATATATTATTAAATTAAGTTGATGTACCATAAAAAGAGGTTACCAGGTGTCTCCAAACTTCCTTTGAACTCTTTGTGTTGTTTATGAGTGGATTGTGTCTATATTACGTAATTATCATATTTTCTTTTTGGCTTGTTGCAGTCACTTCTAAAAAGTTAACTGGGTTTAAATGCTAGTCAAAGATTAAATCACCTTTTCCATATAGAAGTGTTTTCATTGAGTTTATATCTAGATATCTATACATCATACATTTGGTTGACTAACATTAGAATAATGATCTCGATTTAGTAATTATTGGATAAACCTTTCAATGATTAAAGATTTTTTGGATACATTTTTCCAAATATTAAAATATAAAAAAAATCATATTTTTCAGAATCTGTAATAATTTCAAAAGTTTATGCCCAAAAAATTAATTAAGGCCAAAATTATTTGTGTGTAAATGTAATCTATCATTCAGATAATGTGTAGTCTCAATGGTGTGCCTGTTTTCTAAAACCCTTAATTTATGTATAATGTATAAACCCTGATCCGTTTTCTCATATATATTAGTTTTCTCAGTTTCATTTTGTCCACTGTTTACCCGGAACACACACTTTTTTTTTTTTAGGTAATGTTACGGCACCCTCAGCATAAAAGGGTTAAACCGCCGTTTAGTAGATCTTCCCCTTCCAGAGATACAGGCACAGCTACTGCAGAACACCAAACTCCCGAACTGCATACAAGGGAATGTTCCAAACTCCCGAACTGCATACAAGGGAATGTTCCAAACTCCCGAACTGCAAACAAGGGAATGCTCCAAACTCCTGAATTGCATACAAGGGAATGCTCCAACCTCCCAAACTGCATACAAAGTAGCACCCCAAACTCCCGAACTGGAACCACACGAATAGCTGCTAGCAGACGAACAGGAAAAGCACCCAAGCGGCTTACACTCCTAGCAATCAGTCTCTATCAGCATACAGTAAATCCCCCCAAAGACGAGACAGAGCTCCAGCTGAATGGGTCTGGATCTGGGTCTCCGCTTCCCTGCTGAGCCTTCTCACTGGAGTGGAACAGATCTTGGTAGCCCTGCTCCAGCTCCATCACTAGGTGGACCAGGTCTTGCTCAATCTCATGAGTGTCGTCCCAGTCATACCTGCTCTCCCTCCACTCAAAGAGATCACTGAACCGGGCTTGTGTAGGGCTCCCAAACTCAGGCTCTGAAAAAGCCTCCCATAACAAGCCAGGACCATCAAACTCCTCTCCCTCTGGCTTGTCATGTTCGGCTGTCCAGGGCAGGTACTGTGCCCCATACCACCAGAGCGCCTGGTAGGAATCTTCCAGCCACATCTCTTGCCATACCAGGTGTTCCAATTTCTTCACCCATTCCTCCAGGGGCTGCTCTCCCAGGAAGGGCATCCGCAGGGCTACTCGCTTCTGTAACCGCTGGTCTTCCTTGGGGAATCTCTCGTCCCGCTGGTACTCCACAATGCCCAGTGCCTGGTACCAGATGCCTTTGCGAATTGCATCTCGGTCATCCATGACCCCCTCATCGTACTCCACTGCTGGTTCCATCCTGGTGCTGTCAGGGTCGCTGTACTGGGACATGCGTTGCCCTCAAATTGTAAAATCCAAAGAAATGGTGTCTCCTGTAGCTGTCCTTCTGGCTGTAGGAACGATCCCGCCGCTTGCCACCAATTGTAACGGCACCCTCAGCATAAAAGGGTTAAACCGCCGTTTAGTAGATCTTCCCCTTCCAGAGATACAGGCACAGCTACTGCAGAACACCAAACTCCCGAATTGAATACAAGGGAATGCTCCAAACTCCCGAACTGCATACAAGGGAATGCTTCAAACTCCCAAACTGCATACAAAGTAGCACTCCAAACTCCCGAACTGGAACCTCACGAATAGCTTCTAGCAGACGAACAGGAAAAGCACCCAAGCGGCTTACACTCCTAGCAATCAGTCTCTATCAGCATACAGTAAATTCCCCCAAGAACGAGACAGAGCTCCGTGTTGAGGGTCAAGCAGTGGTCTGGTTT